ATACTTCCCCCCCGTTTGATAAGCATTTTATACAGTAGGGTGAGGGCGAATGGGCGGAGTTTCACGCAACGGGGCCTACGTGACGTCGCAATCTTTGCCATTGAATCCCTGCCACGATGCCGCCCCTTGATGTCACGTGTGGTTGCGGCCCTCCGCACTGCAAACGCAGGTAGGGTCCCCCCCCCCCCAAGAGATTTGTGAAGTATGGCTCTGAATACATTAGTGCTATGAAAGTAAGTGATTTCATTAATTTTCTAGAGTTTCAAAAACCCTCTGATAGTTTAGATTTACTTACAAATGCTTGTATTGTCGCATCAATCGTGCTTCTTTGTGCATTTCTTGCATTAAAGCTTTATTCTCTTCCTTAACTTTTGTCTGAATGCAAGGAATTTGTAGATGAAAGGACTTTTATGAAGGATCGCGTTGTAATTCCTCTTTCAAAAGAACTAGTTTTCGATTTTCTTATGTGGGCATGTAGCGCCATTTCGGCGCAGTTCGGCTTCGTGGGGTCACCGAAGGTACCCACTAAGCTTGTACAGGCCACCTTGTGATGACTTGTGAATTTTTGTAAATAGAATGGCTCACTCGAACGATATCGCAGCGTCATAGGAGTTTGCAGACTGGCCGGGGTAATACCTATTAAATAACTACCCCTTCAAGCCGAACAGCGCAGCGCTATGTACTTATGGGCCAATCCACATGTTTCTTTCCAATATGCTTTTCGTTGCAATACGGTACGCGTTTCTATTACGAAATTCTAGTCGAGAAACGTACAACTTTAATAGCAACTTCGACGAATGTTGTGAAATGCTTCATTGTCCCTTTCCATACTTCGCCAAAAGCTCCTTCTCCAATTTTCGCATCCATTCTTATTTTATCCTTTGACAATTCCCATGCCTGTTTCGGTATCGGCCTAATCAGTGTTGCCTGACCTGCGACCGGGATCCTCTCATTGTAGTGCTTTCTGAAAAGTGTCCATAAATCGACGAAAGGCTTCACCTGACATCCCTACATGTATTCCTTTCTCCAAGAGGAATAACCCTACTCTGGGGGTGTACGGCGCATGTTGTGAAACGCGACTGACGTCTCGGACGCACCGCGCTGCTTGTCCGGAGGCGCTGTCTCGCTTCAAGAACAAGCCTACGCATGGTCCTGTTGCGAAAGACAGGTGACGTGCAGTGGCTGCCAAAGTATCAAATGCGCAAGGAACATACAGCGAGAGAAGACATCGTTCTTTGAATTTAATTTGTTTTAGTATCCTTCTATGGACAGAGAGAGGGGACTCCTCGGGCGTGAGCGGGCAACTTAAATGATTTTGTGAAAAGTTGGATCGTGTCAGCATCTTGACACGAAATACAACTTTTTCAAATGTCTCATCATACATTGGATCAAACCACAAGGAAGACAGGTGCAAAAAGAGAAGATTGACGCATTTGAAGGAAATAAGTCCAAGGTGCTCGTAGAGTGCCCTCGTCGTGATTACAGTATGATGTGGGAAAGAAAAAAGAAAAAAGCGTCATTGGTGTGGAGACGTGCCTTTGCGTGGAGCATGCCACAGTAAGCACATTTCGAACGACGAAAGAAGCTCGACGCGCAGGAAGCTGCTCTGTTTCACTGCTTTCAGCCTGCGCCTTCGGTAGTCTAGTTCGATTCGTCGTCCTGCATCTCGTTGAGGCGGCTGCGTCACGCTACATCTTCATCCATGATGCGGTGTGCATCCGGCACGTACCCGACGACGGCATTCGTCAGATCCGTTCTGCTAGTGGAGTTTACAAGTCATCTTTTAGTTGTCCGGTTATGTGTCATTGCTATGTCTTTGCCAGTGGTGCTTTTCGTGTAGCGTCAATGGTTTCCTGTTTGGTGATTGAAGCGGTTGCGAGTTGTTTCCACGGGAGAATATCCGCTCAATAGCTCCTGTTCTGTCAAGTGCAACGCGATGAGCGACTAAGGGTATTGTCCTTCGATAAGTCGATTTTTGTCTAGTCAATAGTGCGATTGGGTAGCGAAGGTACTTGTCCACAGATGGCACATTGCTGTGCGAGCCGGCAGTCATCTCGCAGCAGGATCGCCACTAAAGTCGCGCTGACGAGGCCGTGGGCAACGTTCTCGATACCCCTCACTTCTGGCTTGGGTCCGGATAAGGCGCCGCCAATACACTCCATTCTCTGCCCGGTGGCGACAGGCTGTTACCAGCTGCGGCCAGTCTATCGGTCGCCACTACCAGTCGAGCGGCGGGATATGCTCAGGGCGTTACCGCTAGCGTTTCCATGGGGCAGCGATGGCTCTTGAACCAGACTAGGTACAACAGGAGCTGAGCGCTGCGATGGGCCCGATTACACTTCCTGTTCTGGGTAATGGCTTCTATGAGATTCCGTAGCAGGACGCTCTGTGTCGTATTTTCCTAACATACTTGTGTCAGTCAGTGACTGATCTTTTCGGGAAGTGTACCCTTTACAAGTTGTCTTTTGAGTCAGCACGCACTAAGCACTGCCTTCGTCGAACGTCGACATTTTCTCCTTCTCAGAGCTCTTTCTTTCCAAGGCGTTGTTGGAGTATAAGGATAGTTTCACCGAGGGATGTGTACGACTTTCTTCGCAAAGGATCCCTAATGTACGGCACCGATCACTACGAAGTAGGCGTTAGTAGCAGGTGACGCGAGCAGGTGGGAGACCAGGACCTAATCCACTCAGCATAGCAGTGCCTCGGTGCGCGTGTCGAGACCCTCTGCGTCTGCGTCCCCCAAGCCCGGCTAGCTCTCTCTGTGCCTCTGTCAGCTAGGAGATACACTGCGTAACCGCGACTGTGAACTCTGGAAACACACAATCAACGAGAAATCATTGTAAATCAAGAATAACTCACTGCACTATGGCTATTGCGGTGGGCGCTTTGTTAACACCATCTATCGTGAAGAATGGCATACCCATTTGCTGAACTCTGTGGATGGGATAGTCTTTGATGTGATTATCGACGCGTACCGTTAAGCAAGGCTGAAACTGTGTCTATCGCAAAGGTTTTGAGAGTAAAGGTTTCCTCTCATCTAGTGACTGCCTGTGTTAATGCTATGGGGCACGGCGAAAAAGTACCTAAGGTGGAATCTTCAAGATGCCCCTCAACTTTTGAGGAAGTGCAAATGGTGTGTTTGTACTTATAAGATGTCTAGATGACGGTAAGTCGTGCAGAAACCTGTTTTCAATTATACGACCCACAACCACAGTTGTGACTTATGTGCCTTTTGAGTCTTTGGAATGAATTTTAGAGTTTCACGCGGTTAATAAGCATTGAAATAAGGGCTTAGCTCACAAGGCCAGTGTACACAGGAATACCTAGCATACATGTAGAGAACTTCAGTTAAATAAAAAACTATTGTAATAAGCGAAGTAGTTCGGCTGAAAATAACTCACCACTGGTCCGCGCCCTGCCTCGGCTTCAAGCGCTCTTACGAGAAAATCACCAGTCGCAGCTACCAAGCAAATAACGTCCTCCAATGGAAGAGAGCCATGATACCAGTTTTCGTTCTCCAGTTCCTGGAAGAGGTCTCAATGTCCGCGGCCTGCATGAACGAATGATGGATACAGCTTTCGCCTGCGGCACGTACTTCTCTTTTACCCCCTGAATCGAGCGCCTCACCAACAGCGCAAATAGCTCTCTCAATTAGCGTGCAAAGGCTGGCACGCTGCAGTGCATGGTCATCCCTCTTAGATGATCGGGCACCAGTTTTACGCGTCAAGGGAGGTGAAGAGGCTCGGCTTGGTCGGCTGAGGCGAAGTGCGATTCTGGGGTTCGTTCATGAGACTGCGCTAGCGGTGGAGCACCACCGCACTTCAACTGTGGTCGCATCCTACAGAAGATGCCATGTCGCATAACTCGTCCAATCAATGCGCAAGCTATTTCTCGAATTTATGCTGGGCACAATGGACCCCCCGCAACAGAGCGGAACAAACGCCGAGAAAAAGAAACCCTTTTTCGTATCCGCTTTTAGTTCTTTCACGAGGTGTTTTGCATATTGGAACATGGGACAGCAAGAAGCGGTAAACGTGGTACTTTCATGCTGATGTTGCCTGGCTCTTATACGCTACGCCTTTGCCTCTCTTCGTCCTGGACACTTCGTTCACTCTGCCAGGTAGCAACGCTCGCTGCCTCTCCCTTACTGCTCCAGGGTGTAGAGGGTACGTAAAGGCAAAGGGCACGAGAAATCCTAAAGACGAGTAGGCCTGTATTCGTCTGAGAGAAGAAGATTTGCTGTCCTTTAGCAGGCGCTGCGTGGGCAGCCCCTTTCCGGAGTAGAATGGCCATTATAGCGTGCCTACGCAGGCTGCCATAGCCGACTCGTGCGTACGTCCGCTCGTGCCCCCATCGATGCTGATGCTCGTATCACTTCATTTGGGAAGTACAATATGAAGCGAAGGGATTGATATGAAGCGGCTGCGGTGCTGCATGGATATATGAGTACATACGTGCAGCCGTATCTACCGTAGCGGTTATTGGCAGGATGCCAACGAAAACTCGTCCGAAACTGCTTTCTGAGAAAAGGTTTTTTGCAGGTTTTTAACCGCTCCATTTCGCTTTTTCGTCCTCTTCTCGCTATATGGTTCACCTGCTACTATTTCGCACTACATATTGCCGTATGCCTTCAAACAATGGTAGCGGTTACAACTACCAGTGAGGATTGTTCTTCGGAGGTATGTTCCTGGCCTGTAGTGGCACACTATCATAAATCACTGACAATACATAGCTGAATGGTTAACTAGACCATGGAAGGGCACAGGGAGGTGATCAACTTGAAAGGGCGAGAGGCAGCTACACATTGACCAGGGAACAGACTGGAAAACAACGGGCGAGAGAACATAGCGAGTTTGTCATGACACGGGCAGCGTGGCCGGCATGGGCGTCATAGGCTTGGGTGATAAGCCTGCAGCCCACTTCCGTTTCTGGCGTACTTTCAAGCGCGGAAAGGTTATTTCCTTAGGCAGCGTTCAAACTTTGCGACAGAAGCGTTACGGTCGCGCGTTCGGCGCGATCGAAGCAGTCGAAAGCATGCGCATTGATCGCCCGTTGTTTATTGAACGCGCGACCGAGGCGCTGCAGTCGCGAAGTGTGACGCTGCCTTAGTGATTGTAGACCCGAGTTATTCAGCTATGGGGAAAAGGATTTTTCAGTCAATCGCTAAAAGTGCCCTCAAAGACAGTGCTCGCGATCAACCAAGGTACAGAAGTCGTTTAGGGTACAAGATGGCGGAGTCACAGAGGATATCCCTTTTTGCGGCTCAAAAGCGCTTGATAAAAGCACGACAGCTCAGCAACGATAAGCTGACTCCGCCTATGAGGGCGGAGTCAACAAGTTCCACCTCGATCATTTTTTCATTACCAAGATTCGTTAGCGGTGATAATTGCTAATCTTATCGAATATGCCTTGGAGAATGAGTCGCAGCAAGTGGCGAAGAGATTCAAAGAATTTGTAGAAAGTTTGGTTAACTCGTCCATTTTCGGTTTTGTACATGAGGTCTTTTCAGGCCACTTACAACGGATTCTTTTACTTTTTTCTTCTTCAGCACTATACTTACAATATGATCTAATGCTTCCAAGTCTACGACCTGTGAAAGGCGATCGCGGGCGCTGTCTTCAAGGGAAACGAAACTCACCGCCATCACTCGTTCAGCTGCTTCATCAACAAATTTTCCCATTTCTGCATTCCTATTTTGACCCTGCGATTCGGATGAATACCACGTGCTATTTCCTTTTCGTATGAACATTTTTACCTCTGGTCGGCCTGCACACTGCAGAAGCTTTTGATATTGATTGTTGGCGCCTCCGTCCATATCATCCTGGATTTATGAAAAGATTTAGTCAGCGTTCAGACTTCGCGACTGCAGCGCTTTGGTCGCGCGTTCAACGCGATCGATGCGCATGCTTTCGACTGCATCGATCGCGTCGAATGCGCGACCGAAGCGCTGCTGTCGCGAAGTCTAAACGCTGCCTTATGCTCCATCATAAGAACGTACGCAACTTCTCATAAAATCTAGGTTTGGTTCCATTCTTTTCACTGAGGTTCAGTGGAAGCTAACAATAAGTGCTATCGAACTGGTAGCGAGTTTCGTAGCAGCAGGGTAACTGTGAAAGCTGACCAACTTGGTAGATTGCTTTCTTCAGACATAGAAGAGCTTTGTATTGTATCTCGAAGAAAGCTGACAAATGAGGGGTTCTGGGAGAGGGTCAGTCAGTAGAAGCCGTGAGGTCTAACGTTCCTCAAGTCAAACGCTTTTACGGATGGTTATCGTGTGAAGGGAGCGGCAGTTTTCTTCACTCGAACTGGTTGAGGACTAGTCAAGTGAAAGAGTTGTCGGCGTTGGTTGATTGCAGATCGTTTGCAATCAGAAATCCTTTTCCTCTGTCACATTATGAGCGGAATGCAGGATCTGATTGGAGGTGGACAGGACAATCATAATGCGTGGCGTCGGCGTGCGGCCACATACGGCAAATGCTCGATGGATAACGATTATGATTCATACACTTGTGGATTTGAGCGGAGGCAGGATCCCACGACGGGTGTTATTCATTTTTCCCAGGCTTTATAGTGTAGTTCACTGCGGACGGGGGGGGGGCGTGTCAGGCAGGATGAGCGTGCACGGTGCCAAACCCTTTTTACACCAGCTGTTAAAGCAGGTGGCAAGACTGTATCATGTCGTTCGTATCACTCGTTTCCCAAAAACTGTTGTCGCGTAACTGCTTCAACAATTGGCAGAGAACGGGTTTTTCACCGGGGTGCCTGACACGCCCTACCGTCTGCAGCGAACTACACTGCACATAGACTCATTTCAGACAACCGGGAAGGGCAACTCGTCCATCAGGGCGCGGTGTCGCTCATCACGCCCACCAGCGCGGCATATTACGACTGCTTTGCCACACACCCACAAAAGATCGTGTGAAAGGCAGCGCCCGCGTTCAATTTGATGAGTTATGGGGCTCAGACAGTGACAATAAGGTAGCAAGTAGTTCATTAGTGAAGTAAAATGCAAAAAATCATCGGATATGCCCTATATAGGACCCCACGCCGAGCTGAGGTTGTACGTGCTTGAGGCGAAGAGAAGGCGCGGCCGCACGAGTTCTCACTTGTTGGTATCAGCTGTTTTCCCTTATCACCTCACTCTCACCATTCGAAGTGGAGAGAGTTAGTAGCAGAACAACCGCACCATCAGGCAACCATTAGAAATGAAGTTGGGCGTAGTGGTCGCCAGGTGGGCGGGGTGGCCGACTCTTCACGAGCGGGCGCCGCTATTCTTTTTTGAGTTGCGAAACTAGTACGTCCACCATCCTCATAGAGGTGAGCTACGATATCCAAAGAGGGCGTGGAAACAACAAATGAACGCGGGCGCTGCCTTTAATTGAGGAGCAGCGGATGTCACAGGGGTTCATAAGGGATTCCTTACAGTGGCTTGCCGCCCAAACATCTCCATTGATCTGGCTCAAGCTCATCTCTGGCCATGAACAGCAGTAAACAGTACTCTTATGAAGTATCTCAGTCCTGCGCAGGGACCACTCTCGAGCTGGGCTTGGTCATGCCATGTTCTGACGCGTTAACGCCGTGTTTACCCATGAGAGAGAGACGTCGCCTAGCCACCGTGGAGAGTGGTCCCTCCCAAGACACACGAGGCGCACAATTCCTAACATAATTTGCTGGCTTTTCTAAGAAGCTTGTCCAGAGAACAGCTTTGGCTGAAATCCAGTTCATCACGTAGAAAGACTTGTGAACCGAACTGACCGAACACTCCTAGTTCCAGATGCTCCACCCTACCACCCGCTGTAACGAAAGTGTTAGAAATGAGGTTATGACTCATCCGTTCCTTCCTGTACTGTAGACTATCAGTCTTGGTATCAGTCTTATCCTTCTGTATAAATCCGCCGTACGTGAGTGAGCGTGTATAGCGTATTTCGCTGCGGACGGTTGGGCAGCAAGTGATGTGACTGTATCTATCGCTCCTTTTACTCGTTTTCTACCCTTTTTTGTCACTTGCGCGCTTCAACAAGCGGGCGGAGAACTGCTTTGGCGGGGGTCTCCAGAGTAAACGTGTAGTACCAGCAGTAGAACGTTGGTTTCAGTAAGCAACTTGAGGGCTGGGACAGAAACATAGTCTATTGGTTACATAAGGGGTTATCATCTGGAAAGGTCGGTACTATTAGGTTGTTCGAAAAGTCCTGCGACACTTTGGACCAAATTTTTCGCACTAAATTTTCTGTCACCCAAAGACATCTCCAATCCACAAGGTAACCATAGTTGATGACTAGGACTA